GTTTCAGTATACTCTATTTATCTCTTCTGTAAGCTCTTTGGTTGCTGTTTTGGCTTTTAAACATTTTATCATAGGAATATTCTCACCCATTGGCAATTCCCGCTTTTCTAAATTTTGCTTTCAGGAGCCAAGGCGCTTGCCCCTCCATTGCCATGAAGACAGAAGTGTATTCAGCTGTGTCCTATGACTAGTGTCTATCATCAGACTTAGTCTCAGTCCATCAGAACCAGGTATGGTGGAATAACTCACTCAGTTGTCATGTTGCAGCTGGAGTGTGGATGATTATGACCATCTTTTCACTTCTTAAAACTATAGGATTGGTCTTTAATCACATGTAAGAAGCATTCCAAGAAACATAAGTGTGCTGGAATAGCTCAGCATCATGTAACTAGCTCTTAATAGTGACGTCTAGTATGAAGTAAAACACTTCCATCGTTACATGATTTTAATATTTTATTTATGATAAAAATTGATGTCAATTACAATAATTATCTTTGTTATCGTCAAAATAGTTTCAAATTATTGTGTATATACTGTTAATATCATAAAGTATGAGTAAATACATAAATAGTCGTCTATACAAATGCAATGTAGTGACCTAGTGATAACAACAATAATAGTTCTAGCAACAACACCCATAATGTTTTTTTATAATTTAAATAATAAGTAAAACTGTTGGGAGAGGATACAAATGGTTTACAGCCATGAACGAGTCCTGAATGTGACGATTCCTCTCTGCAAGTATTGGATAGCGACACGGGGTATTAATACGACATGAGGTGCTCATACAATACAACCAGTGAATGTACAGATAAAGAATGAGCTCTTGCATGCCTCAACTATCTATAAAAGAGCCAACCTATAGTTTTAAGAAGTGAAAAGATGGTCATAATCATCCACACTCCAGCTGCAACATGACAACTGAGTGAGTTATTCCACCGTACCTGGTTCTGATGGACTGATACTAAGTCTGATGATAGACACTAGTCATAGGACTCAGCTGAATACACTTCTGTCTTCATGGCAATGGAGGGGCAAGCGCCTTGGCTCCTGAAAGCAAAATTTAGAAAAACGGGAATTGCCAATAGGTGAGAATATTCCTATGATAAAATGCTATAAAAGCCAAAACAGCAACCAAAGGGCTTACAGAAGAGATAAATAGAGTATACTGAAACAAAAGGACAGCTCAAAGTGGCTCCTACAGCTAGAATGGCTGGATAAAAGAGAAGATTGTTCAGCCTGTCTTTCCTCCAAAAATCCACCATTTTACCCCCACGTTGGGTGCGCGTTAATTAGAATCGCTTAAGTGCAAAAGGTCCATTGAGTAAATAATTAATTGCTACCTTGTACAGAAATTAAAATATTAATAAAGTTTTAAAGCGTTTTGAACTAAAGTCTGTTGAGTTTCATTTGACTTAGTGATTTTTAACGACCTGGGGGTGTAGTCCCCTTGTCATTCCTACATGTATAATTGATTTCACCCACATGCGATGCTTGTATATTTGTATGTCCACACTTACATTTCTTCTATACATGTTGTATTGGAGAAATAAGAAAATTCATAAGCCTTAGCAAACACCCTCCCACGCTCCTTTAAGTAGTCAGAGCAAACAATATGGTGGCTTACACAAAGGACAAAGTCATAAGTTTTTAAGCAAAAGAACATATGTACAGTCTCAAGACCTTTCTTGAAGGATTAGAAGGTAGAGAAAACCTCTTTAAGTTTTAATAAGAACCCAGCTGTACTTGCAAGATGGTGAAATCAATTATAGTAATACTTTTACTCTGTTACGCTTGTTTGTAATAACTTTTGATAATCCAGGAATTTAGAAATTTTGTTTGTGCCATTAGAATTGCTAGGTCCTTCCCGTCCTTAGAAAAAAAGAACAGATCAAAATGACAAGGCCTTAGCCTTTTTTGGATGTCCCTCTATAAACTCAATGACATACTTTGACCAAAATTACGCAGCTAGAACAGCCAAATCAAATTCAGCTTCTATTATTAATTGATAACAACCAGGGATCAGGTGAAAGTGAATAGACTTTAGAACATGCATAAAATCTTAACTCGGTATCAGTCATTTAAACTAAACTGCATACACAACCAGTCGATACATTAACATGTACATGGCATGCACATACATGTAGTTACATGCACCACTTACTAGTTTACTGTCTCCTAGAGCATGATGAATTCATGCAATAACTCTATATATAATAATACAATGGAATATATAAGTACATAAATGACACCACTCACTTATAACAGTTTGCTATGTTGACATGTAGTGGCCCAAAGACTTGAGCAAACAATTGCACAGCTTCAGATAGATAGTCAGGAGCAACTTCAATATTAGCAGACTGCAACTGAACCTGAGCCAACTCATACCAACTCATACAACTCATACAAACCAACTCATACAACTCATACAACTCATACAAAATTAGAAATACAATAAAGTTGTTGAAGATTGAAGTACACATACATGTAAAAGACATAATATACCATCGATCTGAAAATTTTTCACTGTGATTATAATTTCACTGGACTAGAATTCCAAAAAAAATTAGATCACCAACATAATTATATGCCACATTCAATAATACATGACACAGTCTTATTTGGTAAAATTAAATAACAGCATCATTTAAAAACACAAAAGTTTCTACCACATAAATTCCCTAAACTACGGTATACATTGTGTAGCAAAAGTGACAGTACAAAGCAGTAATAAATGGAGTTTTGTCTCACTTTAAAATCAGTGTGCTTAACAACAGGTACAATACAGGCAAGATCACCTTCATTGAATGGAGCAGTCAAGGAAAATTTGTAATCCTTAAATGTAATCTGTACTCCTGATAAGGGGTGCGGTCAATGAATATTAATGAGGTATGATGCCATCTAACCTGTTTTGTTACGGAATTCCCTGAGAAGAGAGACTTTGCTAACACCACAAGTAGTAAACATGTGAGTTACAGAATTACTAGAGAAAGAGATAGACATTTAAGTACATGTACATCATTAAATATTGTTTATTCCGTTATTATTAGCTTACTATTCCAATGTGTACAGGAAATGCTGAAGTACATTTTCCACTGACAGTTTCCATAACTTTCCTTGAGACAAGTCTAAACAAAATATATCATCAACGTACTGTACATGTACATAGATAGTAGACACGGAACGGGATAGGAAACATATCACGTGAGCCACATTGCACGCATAGCCATCCGCGTTCGTGATAATAATCTGAGGGCTCGCGCGTATACTTCGAAGACACTCCTCTTGCTCTAGTCACAAGGCTGATCGAAGCTGACACTTTGTGGGACTTTTGCTACTACATCAGAGACTTTTAGATCTTTTAAGCAGTGCTGCCTTCCTCCTTGGGGTTTCCTTCATGCCAAGAGTATAGTCATAGACCGATACTTTCGATTAGAGCACGATAAGGGACAATTATGTAAGATAATGTCTTGTTGCATTTGTGGGACTCTTTAGCTCTTATTCCTGACTGAAATCCCAAGTTACTAATATTTTTCGATGAAATAAACCCTTTCCCATGCCACTAAATTCCTGAAATAAATCAAAAGCTTTGCTATAATTTTTTATGATTTTTTATAGATTGCGATGGGAAAGAGGAAATTCAGACTGAAGTATCCAAAGAACTATGAAAGAGTCAAATATTCCACCAAAAAAAAAGCTGCGTCTATGTCTTTACAAACATCTACTACTTCATCACAGGTTTCTACAGGAGCTGTATTATCAATTCAGTCACAAGATCATCCGACGGAGCTGATTGTTAAAATACCTATTTCTAGCTATAATTCTTTGCCTGTTCACAATGCGGCTGCACTATATGACAGGTTAACGATGTCAGGAAGCATTCCACATGGATGGTCATCATCATTACTTGTGTCTGAACTCCACTCATCCATCTTCTCTCTGAGCAACAATCTTACGTGTTCAGCTTCAAGCTGTGTCACTCTCACTGTCACTGTTAAGGAAGATTGTGTTTGGTTGCTGTTTGTAAATAATAGACAAGTTGATTTAAGTTACTGTAAGCTTCTGCAGCCGCTTTTGACTCATCAGCTTAATAGTATAACTCTCCTACTACAACTTTTGTCACTATTGGAAGGTAGCCATATCTGTAGTGGTAAATGTGATGACAAGTTTTTACCAGTTCAACAACGCCGTAAAGGAACTTTCTATGGCAAGTCAGGTATTTTTTTCAAATTTCAAATTTGTTTTTCTATTAATTTTTCTGTCTCGGATCCTATAGGCACTGATGTTGTGGCATATTTTGATTCATCGCTCACAACTCCAACTATTCGTCACACAAAATGTGAGATATTGTTGTCCTATTTAGGACGTTGTCATTTTTGTGATGATTATAGGTAAGTACATGTATATGGTAAAATTATTAATCATGATTAACTTCACAGACCTTCTCTTCACTCATTGGCAACCCGAGAGAAGAATCATTCTTCATCTGCATTAGATACTTCAAGTCATGTTAATTATAAATGTCTTACACCATCAGAAAAAGATACACGAATTGCTGCAGTGAAACATGAGAATCGTCTTCTTCGACTTAAGCTCCGTAGACTAACAGCGAAACTTGATGCTATTGTTCAGAAAGATGAAGCTGCATCAGATATTAGCCAAATTATGACAGAAGAGGAAGAGGCTGTTCATTCTGCATT